AACCTGATATCTCTAGGTACCGTAGATGAATCAGGCTGTAGTTATAAGGCAGAAAATGGAAGCCTGAACATATACGGAAATAGGAACCTTATCCTGACAGGAGAGAAAAATAATGGGCTTTACATACTCTGTGGGAACATATCTTCTAACTGTTTGAACTCTGTGATTAAGCCTGCCAACATATCCAACACAGAAAAGTGGCACCTTAGACTAGGTCACATAAGCCAAAGAAGTATGGATACCCTGAACAATCAAGGTCAATTTGGTAAGGATAATATCTCTTGACTGGATTTCTGTGAAAATTGCATACTAGGAAAACAACATAGAAACAGTTTCCAAAAGGGGGTACACCAAGCCACTAGTCAACTTGAATACATTCACTCTGACCTGTGGGGACCTGGGAGGATTAGAACCTATGGGGGAAACAGTTACTTTATGTCCCTAGTAGATGATTACAGCAGAAAGGTTTGGGTTTACCTATTAAAGACTAAGGATCAAGCCTTAGAAAAGTTTAGGGAGTGGAAACTCTTAGTTGAAAATTAGACGAATAAGAGGGTTAAGGTTCTCAGAACTGACAATGGGTTAGAATACTGCAACCAAGAGTTTGATAAGTTCTGTAGTGATCAAGGGATATTGAGGCATAGGACTATGAAACACACCCCTCAACAGAATGGGGTGGCTGAGAGAATGAACAGAACCCTCCTGGATAAAGTGAGATGCATGCTTATCACCCCCAAACTTCCCACCTCATTTTGGGGAGAAGCCCTAACCACCTCAGCCTACCTGATAAACAGAAGCCCCTCCACTGCTATAAACCTAAAATGTCCAGAAGAGATGTGGACTGGAAGAAGCTGTACTGCATATGCACACACTGTTGGTGGAAAATTGGAACCAAGGTCTACAAAGTGTGTTTTTCTGGGATACCAAGAAGGAACAAAAGGGTACAGGCTGTGGGACAAGGAGTCCCCTGGGGTTAAAGTTGTAGTAAGCCGAGATGTGATTTTTAATGAGGGTACTTTTCCCTATAAAAGTACTAACTCTGATATAGGTCCAAATCCAAGTGTAAGGGAGAGTTCTAGTAAGCCTAAGACTACACAAATTGAGGTGGAGCTTCCTGCCCAACCTCAACCACTGCAGGATTCTGAAACCATCCAGGAAACTGAAGCTGTTCCTGAACCTGGAGGAGAAGCTGGACATTATGATCCAAAACAAGAGGATGAGATAGAAACAACTGAAGATACTAAAACTCAGCTTGAAAACTTGCAAGATTACCAACTTGCAAGAGATAGGGCCAGGAGCCAGGAGCCAGGTAAGGATTCCCACAAGGTTTTCATATGCTGACCTCATTTATACTGCCCTTCTTGCAGGTACAGAATTGCAAAGAATCAAACCAGAAACATATGAGGAAGCAGTGAACTCTAAGGAAAGGGACAAATTGAGGGCTGCCATGGAAGCTGAGATGAAGTCTCTAAGGTTGAACAAAACTTGGGTTCTTGTACCAAAGCCAAAAGGGCAAAAGGTAATCCAATGTAAGTGGTTGTTCAAATTGAAAGATGCAGTAACAACCAGAGAACCACTCAGGTATAAGGCTAGAATAGTAGCCAAAGGCTTCACCGAAAGAAAGGGAATAGACTTCAATGAAGTCTTTTCCCTAGTGGTTAATTATGAAACAATTAGATTAATGCTCTCCATAGTAGCTCACCTAGATTTAGAACTTGAACAATTAGATGTGACTACTACCTTCCTTCATGGGGATCTTGAGGAAGAGATCTATATGAACTAGCTTGTAGGATTTATAGATCCAAAGACCCCTGACCATGTCTGCCTTCTTCTCAATTCTTTATACGGCCTAAAACAATCCCCCAGGCAATGGTATAAAAGATTTGACACATTCATTGTGAGTATAGGTTTCACTAGGAGTAAATATGATAACTGTTTTTACTTTGCCCTAAGTAATATCTTGCCTGTGTATTTACTGTTGCATATGGATGACATGTTAATAATTAGCAAGTCTAAGTCCTTGATTTGTGAATTAAAGGAAAAATTGAGTGCTGAGTTTGAAATGAAAGATTTAGGAAATGCAAAGAAGATCCTAGGAATGCAAATTGACAGAAATAGGCATAAATGTGAGCTGAGAGTGCACCAGTGTTCATATTTGCACAAACTAGTAGAAAAATTTGGTATGGCAGGTGCAAAACTTGTTACAGTCCCACTGGCCAGTCACTTCACACTGAGTAAATCACAATGTCCCAAAACTGAACCTAAAATGATTAGGATGGAACATATCCCATATGCCAATGTGATAGGATCTCTTATGTGTGCCATGATTAGCACAAGGCCTGACTTAGCCTTTGTAATTTCCTTACTCAGTAGGTATATGTCTAACCCTGGTATGGATCACTAGATTGCTTTAAAATGGGTTCTGAAATATGTAAATGCTACTTTAAATGTTGAACTGCATTACTGTAAAAGAATTGCTTCACTTGAGTTGGTTGGGTTTGTAGATGCAGACTTTGCAGGTGATAGAGACACCAGGAAATCAACCACTGCATACTACTTCACTTTAGGAGGCAACTGCATCAGCTGGAAATCCCAGTTACAACCGATAGTTGCATTATCCACTACTGAGGCTGAATATGTGGCTGTTGCTGACATATTCAAAGAAGTCATCTAGCTAAAAGGAATTCTCAGTGAAGCCAAGTTAACAAGTCAGAGGCCTGTAATCTTTTCTGAAAGTCAGAGTGCAATACATTTGAGCAAGAATCCAGTGTACCATGAACGTACCAAACACATAGATGTAAGATATCACTTTGTGAGAGACCTGATCTCAAGAGATGAGATAGCACTTCTAAACGTTTCAACCGAAGAAAATCTAGCATACATGGGTACCAAGACAGTCACTCATACCAAGTTCAAGCACTGCTTGAATTTGTTATCCATTCAGTAAATCAGAGTGACCAGGGCAATGAAGGATCCCATAAAGAGCAAGATGCACTATAGTCACGAATAAACCCATCAAGGTGGAGATTATCAGAGTGATGGCCTTATACGGTGACGTTTTATCATTAAGTGGGACGACGTCGTTTTGAGCCAAGAAAAGATTAATCCTGTTCGTTGGCTGGCTGAGAATCCAACGGTGGAAAATCAGTCTGATAGTCAACAGTATAAAAGTAGTGCAACAGTCCCTTCTCAAACGATTGAACCTATTTTCATGTTTTTCTCTTTCTCTGTAAAACGAACTGCCTCCTTTAAGGTTTGGGTATAGTTTTGATCTTGAATCTTGTAACAGGGTGTTGAGTGGTTGGTTTGCAGGCCACTTGAGGGTGCTAGAGTTTGCAGTGTATCTTGGGTATTAGATCTGTATCTCTAGGGTGTTACGGGTTCTGTAAAGATTTGGGAAAAGGTTCAATTCTTTGGTCGAGTTGTGTTCTGTAATCTTGATCAATATAGTGCAGCGAGCTCGCTGCTTTCTCGAGCTCAACATGGACGTAGCTTGCTCAAATCCAAGCAAGTGAACCACGGTAAATCTTGGTGTGTTGTGTGCTTTGTGGTTGTTTTTGGTTGATCTGTTGCGAGTAGGTATAACATTAAGTCATACTAGTGACCTCGAAAGATTGGCCTTGAACACCAGCTGCCATCGCTGAAACACATAATTATTAGGATGATCTGGAGAGATTAAAGGATATGGGAAATGAGGATGCATGACTGTGGGGAATTATATAGAAACTTGCTACTTTGTTTTAACTAAAAATAGGATTTCATGGTCTAAATTAAGAATGTTAGATTTCTTAGTCAATAGTCATGAAATAATGTTAAGAGTTATGTTACATAGATAAACTATTTCCTACAAACTGGTGTAGCAAGCTGACAAACATGAAATTCGTTTTGTTATGTTACGTCCTTCACATATTTACTTGATAAACCGACCAAATAGGAGGTATGTGGATATTCTTGGGATCAATTCAAAAGTGCTTTTGATAATAATATTTGTTTTTTTTTTAAAAAAAAAATTTTACCCTATTTCTCTGTCCATTTTTGTTCGATATATGCTTAAATTAATTTTAAATAAATTATTATAAAAGACATCTAATTAGTTGTCAATTAAACTTATATATTTGTGAGATTTTAATTTTATTTTTCTTTGATTTGATTTAAAATATTTGAAGCACTCTTGGAAAATCAGTTGATTAAAAGTTACTTTCCACAAAGTACCTTTTGGTATTGTGACAAAATAACTTTTGCCTAAAAGAGATTTTTTAAAATAACTATTTTTAAATTCATTTTTAAAGTATTTTTATGAAGAATTTTGTAATAGGATTGTAGGTATTTTTGAAACAGCTTTAAATTATTATAAAATAGATAAAAAAATATCTCTAACTATTATAAAAATTTGTATAATATAAAAGTTGAGAATCTTTCAAAAAAAATTGGCTTACATATTAAATATCATACCTCTATGTATATAGTAAACGTTGAATTTATATTTACAATTATGCATTATTTTTGAAGATTTTATAAAAATAAAATGAATTATATTTCATCTTTAGGTTGGAACTTATTATTTTCTCTTTCTTAGTTGCTAATAAGGATAACAGGTTTAATTAAGATGTGTCATGAAAAAAAAAATCTTATTCTTACCACTGAGACAAGAAAATAAGATCTAAATGGAGAAATATAAAAACTCTATGATCACAGATCACATCATGTGACATTTGCCATCACTAAATATAATTAGATTATATAAAGTAAACATAAATCTATTATAGCAAAGTTGCTTTAGGAAAAGTAACAAATTCACAACAGGACTGATTGTTCCACTTCCACTCAGAAATCTGGATGGGAGAAAATTGAAACAGATCAATTTGAAAATGCATAGCAGTTTTCTTGTTTCCATTACAAGAACAACAACAAAAAATTTCATAAATTCCAGCCAACTTTTGATTTACAGAAAGCAGTAAGCCAGCAACAGGCTTGATGATAAAAATGAACGAATAGATTGCCCATCGTCTACATATAATTTGCAAGACACCTTTATGTACACATCTTTTAAATCCAACCCACCCACATCACTCACTTTCATAGTCGTCTTCATCTCCAAATGAAAAAACAGATGCATCAGCAGCCATTGCCTTGAATTCACTTTGTGTGTTAGGAACTTCATGGCCCGGGATACCTCCCCCTACTGCCGCTGCTTCCTTTTTCAGCTCACTAGTAGACTCTGCTGGTTGCGCCCCAACATTTCCCAATGAAACTTTCTCCGTTGCATGAGCTAAATTAGCAACTTTATCTGAATTATTTTTTGTTTCATAACCAGAGGTGGTTGAGGCAGTTCCTCCAGCTGCCAGAGCTTTCTTGCTTTTGGAAGAACCACCTTCTTCTGCCTCACCATCTGAAAACACATCATCATTATCAGGATTTCCTGTCTCCTTATTTTCATTTGGAGCAGCTACACCATGATTAACCAAAGCGGGAGCAGAACCTGAGCTTTCATCTGATTTCTTGGTAACAGTTTCAGAACTAGGGCTCGCTGGAACAGGGCCATTATAATCTACTAATACAACCTCGACCTGGAATCCAGGTGAAGGCAATTTCCTCTGCACACAATCCATGACCACACATGTCAAGCTACATATCGAGGAAAAAAAAAAAAAAAAAAGAAAAAGGAGAAAAGTGGAGAATATGGTTATAAGTGCTGTCTACGCAGGTCATCAGTGCAAATATTATCACTTAATGACATGCTCAAATTTTACCTTGTCAAACCCATCAAGATCACCGGTGTTCAGAATTTTTCTGTTTTCCATCATGGTTGTGTTTAACCAGCTGAGAAATCACATGATGAAATGAGTGACCATTTTAACTCCAGTTTATAAAAGCATAATAAAAAAAAATATGTATTGAATCATAGGGAGGCTAGATGGCATAATCAAAGAAATTTATTGAATCATAGGGAGACTAGATGGCCAACCAGTAAAAATCTCCTTGGCGGTCATGAAAATGGATTTTGAAATCGCCAGCCAACTCTGCCAAACCTGGCTCTCCAGGCAGGGCAAAAACCATAACGCCTTTCTTTGGAGCAGTAAACCAAAAATCTTCAGACTGTGGAAAAGAACATTTAGGGTTTAAGATGATAAGAAAGGAGCTCCAGGTGATTCATAAAATATTCACATAAACATTTTAAAAGGATTTAAGTAATTGCAGGAAATAATATACGCCAACCTACCGATAAATCCTTGGTTCTTGGATGCTTTTTTGTGGAGAATAGAACACCTGGTTTAAGAAAGCATAAAAAATATAATAATCAAAAAGTTAGATAAGAACCACATTGTTCGTAAAAATATTTCAAACTCACACTGGACACAGAAAAGAAAATGCATTTTGAACTGCAGCCTAGGAATATAAGAAAACTACAGCAGTTGACCTTTCAAAACTAGCTAGCACTCCAGTTTCAAACCACACAAAAAATTAATTAAGATGTGATAGACCTCCCATTAAGCATGTTTACCAATACAAAGGGCATAAAAGACAATAGGGACAGAAAGGGGATTAAAAGTGTGAGGTGCCTTGCTGTAGGTTGTTAGAGCAGTGGTTACAGCCACGTATGGGAAGGGAATCAAAGTTGCTAGGGGAATAGGTAGTCATGCAGGTAGTATAAATAAAGGGTCTGTTTTGGTGAATAGGCAGAGATCAAATACTGTCATTGTGGGAGGTCCCCAGCTCCTCGAATTGCTGAGATCTATCTGTTAGTTTATCAATATTTTTGTTGTTCTTTTTCTCTTAGTAATATAATTGTTGAGGCTTGCTTGTGTGAACATATTCTGTTATCTCTGGCTGTTTGTGCTGTTGTTTGTTATCAGTGCAGGGAGTCTTATCAAGATGCAATACAAAAAACCAAAATCCACAAAATCATAGCAAATTAAATAGTGAAAGCAACCAGCAGCAGTAGAATACACCCAAAGCTTTTTGCTTTTCTATATGATAAATGGGAAGCACTATATCAACTAATTACAAAATTATAAACATGAATCTATCCAGGTAACTTTCATGTGTAATAGCCAATAAAATTCTAAACAGGTTAACAAACTTCTTTCACAAGTAACTTACTGTTGCTAGTACACATTTTTGACTTCAACTTTATGGGATGGAATTCCATTTAGAGGGGCCTTGTTGAGAGAAAACTAACAGACAAAAGCACATGGACACATGCATATTGCAATCAAATGCAGCAACAATAACTCCCAAGAATAAGAAAATTCAAACTCATGAAAAGCCTACTGAACCAAAAGGCATTAAAGGAAAAGACAAATTGTGGCAATTGCATGCACTGCAAAAAGCAATCAAGTCATTGCTGGATAGATTTTGAAATAGAAAGGATGCAACAACACACCACTATGGTCAGAGACAGTTATGTGGGGTCTGATCCAGTATGGACACCTGTGAAGCCGAAAGCCCCTAAGCAAGCACCTGCACAAGATGCAATGAGTAGTCAGTACAGAAACCAAATTTGCTATATGAGAAATACATGGCCAGAAGTATACCTACGCCCAGGCTGGTTCTCTCCGTTGAAGTAGGTTTGGACACGTTCAAAATATTTGACATACCTCTAAGAGAAAAAATATAAAAAGATAAGCACATTATATGCAACTATTCAAAGATTATACATAGCAATACAGACTCACAATTTGACTGGGCAGAACCAGCCCTTTTCCGTCCACACATCTTTTCTGGTTATAGTAGTCAATGGATTCCTCTGCAGTAGGGAAGAACTGTGCAAAGACAGCAAAAAAGTATACAATTCAAATTTCAGCAGAAAGGAATACTAAAGTTTCAAAAACTTCTACAAGCTTAAAGAAGCATCTTTCAGAAAACTTGCTACAGGTATCTTACCTTCAAATACAGTAAAAGGCTAGAAATCATTAACCCTGTCCTTGCCATTCCAGCCTTACAGTGCACAACAACAACATTCTCAATATCTTGCTTCAACCATGAATATGCACTATGGCAAAATGATATTATCAGCTGAATTGGGGGGCAATTGTGGTCATCAAATGGGAAACTAGCTACCTGAGGCAATACTCAAAGAATTAGCTTCCCCACAGCTATAGTAACTAAAAAATAAGCAACCTAATAAAGCCTCAATGGTCTCAATATCCAAAATAAAATAAAAATAAAGAAATACATGGTTTCACTATAACGTATCATTTTTTTTGGGTTTTTCAAGATAAAAAAAAAGACATTAAAATGAACTAAATAATATATTGCTCAAGACAACAAAAGGATTGAAACAAGTGAAACTTGACATTGAAGTTTATCAATATTAGCTCAATTCAAGAATCAGAAAGTTGATTATTGGAAGTCTGATTGTTGATTAACCTACAAATACACATAGTGCATAACATATCTAGGACCAAATGTTTAAGACCACCATCGATAGATGTGAGGGTAGGTAATTTTGATGAAATTTGATTTACAGCACCATAAAATCTTTGGATTCACAAGTACCAGAGTGTAAACTATTAACATTATCATCACTCTTCAAAAATATTTCTGATTTCTATATGCATTAAGAATAAAATTGTTTATGCATCACATGTATTTACACTTGCAGCAAGAGTTAATTTTGTTGCTTGATGGCCAATGTTGCACTAAAACCATATTCGGCCAAGAAAACCATAGGAGATGCTTATCAGTCCACCAGAAATGCCCAAACTTGGTTTTACTACATTATACTACTCAACCATATCCAGAAATCATAATCATGTTCTGTCAAACAACCATTTTGGAACAGTTTGCCACTGCCACCAACATACAGTTTCAATGACTGAAGTCAAAAGATTTATTCCTGTCTTCTCAAGAGCTCAGCGATTTTATACATTGTGATGCTTCCAATAGTTATTGAATGGTGTAAATTTTCCTTGTAGGATCTATTGATCAATTAATATACAAGGTGAGGCCTTCCCTAAGCTTAACAATAACCATAACTGGCCACATCTGAGCTTACTCTACCTTAGTTTAGATCTCTGTTACTGAAGATGAAAAACCTTAGTTTAGATATCTGTTATTGATATGAAAAACCTACCTCATCTTTTTTCTTTCTTAAAAAATTAAGAGGGCAGAGATCACTAACCTTTCCTTCAAACAATGATGCATCATAAAGCCTCTCGGAACAAAGATTGTACACTTTGTATTTGTCCTGCATACACAAAGTAGATTAATAGTAACGTTAATTCCCAATACTTAGTGACAAGATGCATATACACCAGTAGACCAGACTAATAACAATAAAAGAACCAGAAGGCAGTTCCTAATGGCATAATCCCCTCTTACTTATCCTGGAAATTTAAGTTTGAACCAGAATATTAAACGATAATGACCAATTTTGAATATTTTATAGGCAAGAAAGAAATTGTGATGAGTAATATCTCAAGTCTGAAAATCACACAAATAATAATTCACAGTTATAACGTTAAAATGAGTGTTTTGAAATATATTCAAATAAAATCGGCTAATCATCAGATAAAATGGTTTAACTCTCTTTTAGGATCATTAAAGATGGTCTGACCCATTAAAGGGCCAACTACCAAGGTGAAGCAATGCAAGAATAGGACAATATGCTTTCCAACATGATTACACACATTTCAAATACATGTAAGGACGAAACAAATTGAGGTGATGACACTAGAATATACATGTGATTGAGTAAACAAGCAAAATGAGCAACTTTCACATCTATATTTAATTATTAGCATATCCTTGCCACATTCCCATTCCTCCTAACTTTTTTCCTTGGAAGACTCCATATCAGCATGTCTTGATTGTATCACAGATAAGTCAAAGCTAAAGCCTCTTGTCTATATTGTATCACAGATAAGCCAAAGCTAAAGCCTTTGAACTATCAGCTCTAAGCAAAAAGACTGAACTTGCAAGATATACAAAAATTGATTTTGAAAGGCTATTTTTTCTGGTTCAAATGAACTTAAAAGCAAAAACTTCAGAAACAGAGAAATCCACCTCAGCTCTAGAACAAATGCAAAAACTCAACCATCCAAAATAACATAAACAATCAACATTTTAAGAAATCAGACCAATTTGACATAAGCAAAATTAAACATCGCCATTACCAACTTTCAAAACATTCAAGTTTAAGGCACATCAAACTGAAGAAACAGTCCCGACAAGGATCTAGAAGATAAGAAATGCTTGATGACTAAACTCATGACACTGTACGACCCAATTTCCAAAAATAATTCACATAAGCAACCTACATAGCCAGGATACAGCTAAATCAAATTGATCAATCTGTATAGATTATTGATAGACAACCCATTAGTAAGGTCTATAAGTTAAGGGGGCATAAAAGGCACTAAGGGCAGATGAGTGGTAATGGCAGGAGTTCCTATCAATTACAAACCACAGAATGCATAACAAAGAGAAAGTATTATTAATTGGTCAAAATCATACAAAAATATCACCAAACCAAGATTCTTATCAAGAAAAAAGGAGATGACTGAATCTCAAAGGCATAAAGATCAGTAGCTCTCAAAATAGTTTAACTCCTGATCAAATGAAACACAATGACATTACACTTGTGCAGTGAACAACCAAATCTAACTTGCAAATAATGGGATACAGATTTTTCATTTCCCATTGACATTTGGAATTGATGCAGCACCAGAGTCATTTACGATTATCACAAAAAGACATGCCATAGCCTTGAGAGATGAAAATGAAAACTACTCAATTCAAATCAGCAAACCAAGCAGACATTACCTAAAATTGCTTTTGAGAAAATGTGCATAAATGAAAGTAAACATTTTTACCTTGTGATAGGTTTCGAAGAATTTAATGACCTCTTCCATGTGGTTCCGATAGAATCCCTGCATCACATATCTAAATCCATTACTGATATTTAAACAAATACACTTAACTGTAAAGTGAAGATTAACTTTCGTACTTCAACAAATCCAAAAAACCCTGAGCTCATATCACCAGCAGGGAACCCCATAGCAATTATATTCTCAGTGATATAAGTCATATCCAAATCAAATCCTCCTTCCTGAATATAATAAAGATTGCAGACAGTAAGAACAAGATTATTATAAAAATGAACATATATAATAGTACAAGATGAATAAAAAATAAAAAAAGAAAGAAACCCCACAAAGTATAAGTATAATTTTAATTTTTCATACTCAAGGTACTTATATATATTTGTATTAGTGGCGTTAAGAAAACTGTTTTTGTTTTCAGAAACATGCCACAGAAGCTAAATCAAAACACTGATTTCTAATGATCTAAATCATATACTAAATCTGTTCTTTTTTTATCATAAGAAAATAATATGCAAAATCATGTATACTAGTACAACAACTAAGCTGGTAATCAGTATCTACATCACATAAGCAACAAAACAACAGTAAGTACAAGAACTGCACTTTATGAGAATAAAAAAATAAATTGAATTAAATCAAACAGCAAGGATATCTCACCTGATATCTTCGTTTATTTTGAGAGACAACATGTCTAGCTTTGACCTGTACGGCCTTGACTGCACTCTTAGATGAGTCAACCAAACCTTTTGTAATTGTTCCAATTAAACCAGATTGTGCAGTTGTTGAAGTTCCCTCAGAAACATCTTCTGCCTGGGGAGATTTTGGAGACAAGCGCAGTCCAAAGCCACTAGTAAAACGTGCAAAACTTGATTTTGCAGAACTTCCTGGTGGTGAATCTTCTTGTGTGCCAGCAAATGGCTGAGGAATTTTCAAATTTTTGGCCCATGTTGATATACCAGCAGCAGATAGTTTTGCTGGTGGATCACCTGAAGGATTATCTGCTCCAGTATCAACTGTAGTAGAATGTTTCATCTCAGGAGCCTTAGTAGGAGGTGAAGTTGAAGAATCAGAAGATCCAGAATCCATTCTCATGCCCTGCCCTGGAGGTCTCAATGGTGGTTGATGCTCGAAGTTCAAAAACCCAGCATACAGTATTTCACTGTATGTATCACAATACAACTGCAACCATAAACATAATATTTTCTAAGCAATGAAGAAAAAATTAAAAAATGGAGCATAAAAATAGCCATATTATTCCATTCACTTCTCCCGCTTGCTTCTCTGTCCCTCTTTTGACCCTTGATATTTTTATAATATCCATGCAAAGAAAAACAAATGCCATCAGTACAAAGAAATCAAATGAAAGAGATTTTAGAGGCTGCACGATGCTTAGTATTTCTGATAATTTCATGCTTTGGATTAAGATGAACAAAACTTCGTGCACAATAAAGTTACATACTTGGTCAATATAGGAGATGTTGCTACTCTCAGATCAAGTAATTACTAATCAAAACCAAACCAATAATTTTAACTTTACTAATTTATCTCACATATGAAATAAGTGACAAAATAAAATAATAATAAATTAATCACACTCTTAATAACATTCACTTCGAAACCGGGATTTCATGAAAATCTTTGAATGAACTTCCCGAGAGTTAAAAGAATAACCAACTTCAAAAGCATGATTCCAACCAGGTGGAATCTTTTCACAATGTTAACCGATTAAGCCGCAAGAATCAATTGCAACCACAATAATGAATTGCTGAAACTCGGTTTAAGAGTCTCGTTAGCTAAGGTGGTAACTGCAACTCAATGCACTCTAAAGAAAGGACTGCTGCCAGAAACTACCAGTGCTTCTCACACTCGTAACACAATACATATACCACCCAACACTCCAAAGCAAAAATTAACAGCAAAAAGCAATAAAATTGTAACTATTTCCTACAAAAAGGTAACCCCTAAAATGCTCAATAATTTTCAGGCTCAATCGAAAATAAATCAAAATTTCAGCTTCTATACAGACGATATGTTGTAAATTCAGAAATTAAAATACATAAATAAATAAAACTACACACGACTCGAGTTTCATAGAACGCAAAAAATGAAGTTTGGTAAATTGAAAACATTCGGATCTACGGCCAGGATCTCCTCTTACCGACAATGAATAAGAGTTGAGTTCAGAGTGGAAAGAGATTGATGCAGAGGCTGATCACACAAGGCAGTGAAGTAAAGCCAAGCTAGGGTTTCGAATTTTCAATGAGATAGAGATTCATTAGAGTTTGGAATTTTGATGTGGTCACGTGGTCAACGCATGGGGTACGCTGATCTTGCAGAAACTGTCTGATGTGTGTAAAGAGATGGTGTTTGACATCAGACGGTGAATGATGCTTCTCTCGAGTTCAGATCTTGAAAACTTCTATACGCTGATTAATGTCATCAACGGTGCTGATTTCGTACGGTTCGAAGTTGGTTTCCGAGGTTATCACTCAATTTCATCCAATTAATTCTTTATTTTTTATTGAAATGGCAACGGCATAACTGTAGATGGTTATGGGAATTTTAAAGTAAAAAAATGTTTTTATTGAGCAGAACTTCATCAATGGGTGCGTTTGGCTTATTGTTTTTATCCATATTCTCAATCATATTCTTCAAATATTATTTGACTTGTTATTCTCAAAATGTTAGTCTATTTTTTAATTACTTTCAGACCCCATAAGTTTATTAATCTCATTAAATACCCCCCAGAAAAAAAGTTTAAAAACTAATAGAAACACCCCCACCCACAATACTTGCCAAATTCCGACAACCACCATCGGTGGTAGCCGAAATCTATTACAACAGTCACACGACCACCGAAAATAGCCGGTAATGACCAGATCTAGCCTTTTCCGGCCAGCGAATCTGGCTGAAAAATGCCAGATTTGGCCGTCAGCAATGGCAAAAAAAATGGCCCGCGTTGACTGTCAACGACAGCCAAATCTTGGCCATCGTTGACAGACAACGGCGGCCATATCTTTGGCGGTCACTGACGGCCAAAGTTAGCCTTTTCCGATCATCGAAGGCCACATTCGGCCTTAGATCTGGCCTTTTCCGGCCAGATCTGTGGTGGATATGACCGGAAAATGCCATATCGATCGAATACCTACCAGATTTGATAAAAGCTTGAAAACACATATTTTGTTAGTGATTCAATTAGATTATTTGTGGAAAAATGTGTTTAATTTATGAAATTTAACTTAATTATTTCATAAATGTCTTTTATGGGATCACAGGGATGTTTTGAGTGTTTTCAAGTTCTTAAAGATGATACTCAGATGAAGGCTATATCGACAATGGAATGTGGGACGACAAGAATCAAATGGTTCGTGATTCGGAGCTGAAACAAAGAAGTTAGGGCGAATTGAAGTTAAAGTGAGAATCCTGGAAAACGCTCTAGTTTTGAACATGCGACAGTAATTTGACAATAACTTGAGCTGCAGATCTTGGATTGAGATGATTCTTGAACCGTTGGAAAGCTGATTCAAAGGGGTACAATTCATATGTTTACCACTTGACCAGATTCGAACGTTATCATGCTCAAAAACCACCGTCTTATCAAGATTGCGAGTTCTAGGGCAGAATCAACTATGCCTAGGCACAATGCTGCAGCACAACTACGATTCTAGACTTCTTTAAATCAAATTTATGACGTGTATTTCATGTTTTAAGAGTTCTAATGTGATTAGGATAGTGGGAATCATAACCCTAAAACCCTAGGAGTATAAATAGATATTTTTAGCTGATTTAGAAAGGGAGAAAGGGAGAGAAGTTTAGCGGCTCATTGGAGATTGGAAATTCCTGTAATTTTGAGTCATCAATTAGAGAAGTTTTTCTACTCTTTCTTATACTCATGTTTATGAATATAATGACTTTTATTACTGAAAGTATGAACTAATTTTATTTTCTAGGGCTAAGATGTAGCCCAATTTTATGAATATGCATTGAATTATTTGTTGCTAATTTTTATTAAGTTTTGTTTTAAGCTTTATTATTGCGCTTAAAGCTTTCAATTCTTAAGGGCCCTAGAGTTGAATGATTTTATGGGTTAGGTTGAGACTGGAGATGAAATCGAATAGTCTAAGGAATAAAGCCATAGATTGAGCGAACGCTGAGATAGGTTACCGGATCTGTGAGGCTTTGGTAAATTCCATAGAACTTAATGATTCCAATGCTTAAATTGATTGAGATAATTTGGGTTAGTAATAGGAGTTAATTTGTTAATTGTTCGAGAGAAAGTTAGCGAAATATTAGGGAGTTTGGTCTTTAGAATAAGCTTATTGAGTTAACGATAAGTCAATGCATAAGATTAAATTGGTGTGAAATTATGCCCTATCATATGATTTCCTACTAAAGTGTTAATAAAAGGCTGTTTATTTTTATTTTATTTCTAGTTGTTTTATTTTTCATTGAATCATTATGAAAATCTGATTGATCAAATAGTAATAAGATAGTTTAATTGGTACTTGGTATTAGTATTCCTTGGGTTCGACATCCGTATTCTTAACTTATTACTTGTACGATTTCGTACACTTGCGAAAATCACAACAAGATTCAACCGGATTTTATGGTTATCCAATTTTCCGGCCAGATTCCGACGGTGGCACTTTGGGTGTTAGGGGTGTTTTATCATTACAATATTTAATATATGGAGTGTTTATTAAATTAGCAAACCTTGGAGGCTTTTTTATAATTTTTAAATTTATCTTGTAATACTCCCTATTCAACTATCCAAACAATCCCTAAAAACCTACCCAAATAATAAACCAAACGCACCCAATGTTTTAATTTAAATACAGTATACGTATATATATTTTAAAATAGAAGCAAATAATGCTTATACACATTGAAATATTCTAAACATAAAAGTCTGTTAAATTACATAGAAATTGATTGTTAATAAATAAAATGTAAATAATACATACTCTAGGTGACCAGTGGTTTAATAGAGATTTAAGTATATACCGAGTCCCTCCTTAGGTGCTAATAGATAGCACGAAGCTCTTACCGATCGATCTAAGTTCCGAGAGATTAATTGAGATGCACGTAAGCTGCCGAACTCCTTAATAATAAAAAAAAAAAAAAAAAAAAAAAAAAAAAAAAGATATTCAATTAGTGGTTCAATACCAATATTTGCAGCTAAGAATATACTTCATAGTATTCAAAATCCAATAATAATAATAATATCCAAAAGTGAGTTGATCAAATCACAAGTTTTTTTTTTAATCATCAGGGTGTTGGGTAGTTATATATACCTCAACTAATCCCTGAACCTTGAAACTGGTCGAGTAAGAGCATCGATGACCACACGTTAATGCCTGGGGGCTTCAAACTGAGGAGTTCAAAATTTTCTTTTACTCTTTACCATTATACCCACCCAGTGATAGTTAAAATATATTCCAACGATTTGACAGCGACATGTTATTAGTAGTTTTCAAAATTAGGAAAGGAAAATCAGTTTCTCAAATTTTAGGGGGAAAGGGGAACTCAGTTTCTCAAATTTTAGGGGTGTGATTATAACCTTATTAGTGCCGCACAATTCATTGTGGTCATTGATACTCCTTGGTACTATCAAATGGACCTTCAAAGTTAAAATTTTTTATCTTAGAGGGGCTATTTGGATTGGTGGTATATAAGATAACAGGAGAATTGTTTTTATTGTTGGTAATATATGAGATAATCTTATTATCTTGTTAGGGGGTGTTATTAAACATTACTGGGGTAATCTGATTTTTCTACCTATTTTACCCTTAATTAAAAACTATTTTAGACACAATTGCCCTCAAATGTCTATCAAATAACAATTACCTAGCCGCCTTACATTTGAGAAATTAGCTAAAATACCATAGCCACAAAAAAGTTTAAAAGTTAACAAAATACCCCCAGCCACCCAAGACCACTATCGGCCATGACTCACCACTACCGACTACCGGTGTCAATCGCCGTAATGGTGCACGACTAGCAGGATCTAATTGGTCGTGTACTGGTAAGGCCTTTTCTGGCCATGGACCATAGATCTGGCTATTTTCTAGCCATGGATTTGTGATCTATGGCCATTTCCGGCTTTGCCGGTGCACGACCGACCGTATATGGCCGGTCGTGAGCCATTCCATCGACTGTCGATGGCGGTCAGCGGTGGTGGTTGGTTGCCAATAGTGGCTTGGGGTGGGTAGGGGTGATTGTGCTACAAAATAAAGTTTTATATGGTTGGGGTGTTTTAGTAAAATTTCAAATGTAGGGGGTTAAAAGAAGATTCAAAAAATAATAATAAAAAATATTATTATATTAATATTTAAAAAGGAATGCAATTTACTAATTTATATAATATTTTCACCCATTTATTCTATCAACCAAACATATTATTTACCAATTTATTTGAACCAACCAAACACATTTTTTAAACACTCCCAATAATCTTCAAGATAATTTTTCTTTCCGTTAATCTAATATACCCATATAATAAAATATTATATGATCCAAACCGTCCAAATACTTATTTGCTTTACATTGCTATTAGGTTCACAAAAAAAATGTCTTATAAGATCAAAGTTGTCATTTTACTAAATTCCTTTTTATAAGATCAAAGTTACTATAACCGAAACAAACTAAATGAAAGAGTAGATGAAAACATAGAACGTTAAACTTTGAAATCAAATGCCGACAGTTTATTAGATTAATAATTGAAATAATGCATACACAATTGAGCCAACTGGCAAGTCGTTCCAAGATTTTTATTTAAGAGTTGTTGCTACCTATCTATTTGATAATATATATTGAAACTACAATAATCTTATTATCAAATTCAAATTTTGCCCTTAACAAAGGTCTGCACCATTCTTTAGTTTTCCTTCGGACGCCAAAATGACTTTCGGGCTTTTCAGTTATCATTATTGTTCCTCTTGTCAGCCATTGGATGAGCTCTAATGCTTTTAGCAGCAATTTTCTTCAAACATTTGATAACAAGGATAATGAGCATGGGAATGTTTTGATCAAATATGTATTCATAAAACAAAGAAGGTTAATCTATATCACAGGTAAGTTCAGACTTGAAAATCATACAAGTATTCCATCAAAAGGATTTGGTACACAGTGGCAAGAGTAGAAAAAAAAACATTAAACTTGAAATCAAATGCTGACAGTTTATTAGATTAATAATTGAAATAATGTATTATACACAACTGAGCCAATAGAAAGTTGTTCAAAGCTGCTTCCTATTTGAGAGTTGTTGCTGTTTGATAATATATATTTAACTATATACAATAATCATATCATCATATTAAAAATTTGCTCCTAGCAAAGGTCTGAACCATTCTTTAGTTTTCCTTCAGACCCAAAATGACTTCCAGGCTTCTCAATGATTATTATTATTCCTCTTGCCAGCCATTGGATGAGCTCTAATACTTGTAGCAGCAATTTGATTTGAAGCTTTTACTGCCAACGGATTGTTGGCGCTCTGCATCATTCAATAACAAGGATAATGAGCACATGTATGCCTTGATCAAATATGTATTGAGAAAACAAGAAGGTTTATAATAATTCTGACCATTAGGCAAGTTCCAGCAGTGGTGTCACACACGGGGTAGTCATGGGGGCAGCAGCTGATATGATCATCGCAGCAGGTTGCAGATTCATAAGGGCAGCATCCCCAGCCGAAGCAGAAGTCGCCATACTGATACAGGCAGCAGCAAGTGCTTCCGTCGGGGCACGAGTAGTAATCATCACAAACATGAGTGGGGCTGGGGGGATTTACAGGAGATGGAGGAGAGGGGCCAGGATTTGGGGGATTCTGGCCTTTCTTTGTGGGATATGAAGCCTGCATAGCTATGCCACACTTGCCGGTTGGAGTGTTAACATTGCGCTCCATCTTGATGTAACCATTCTCTCCCCAGCTTGAACCCCATGAATTCCTGACAAGCCAGTAGTCCACACCATTTTCTGTGCCATATCCAACAGCAACGACGCCATGATCCAATTGTGTTCCACAGCGTCCAGAGAATACACCCTGTATAAACGTCAGAGCAAAATTAGAAAAAATAGTTTCTTTCGAATACTCTTGCCTCTCATCGATGTACATTAATCAAGGAGCTTTACCGATTGGTAGAGTTGGAAAGCCCTGCCACCAGCTTCAATGGCGACACTGACAGGTTGATGTGCCACAGCCTTCTTCAATGATTTCTCATCATTTGTTAGAACATCTTCGTATCCATCAATGGTAACAACATGAGCATTTTTCTGCAAGGAGAAAAAGATAGTAAAAAAAATTAGGATCATCTCATGTCTTTCATGTTCAACTAGATTGAAGATTCAATTTTGACTACCGACCCTGTTTGGATCACACATTGTTTCGGTAGCCTTGTAAGGGTAATCCTGCTCTGTGTCAATACCACCGTTATTGATAATGAATTCAAAAGCGTAGTCCATGAGACCTCCATTGCAACCCTCGTTATATGATCGGTCACAATCCACTAGCTCCTGCTCTGACAAAGAGATCAAATCTCCTGTTACAATCTGGCTGATTCCTTCTACTGCACCTACGGTCGAGAAGGCCCAGCAACTCCCTGCATTTCAAATTATCATCCAACCGTTTGATTAAATTATGTGCATCGCATTTGACCATGTGAATAAGTGAGCCATTCAATTACATTAAGTCCAAAATAATTGACTTTGAATCCTAATGACTTTTGTCAAACTTGAATTAAGATCAGATGCAATCAGATTCAATGAAAGAAAATAACTATCAAGTGACCGCCAATTTCTTGTAACTTTAAATAAGTAGCTACAAGTATGGATTATATGTTCCTCAATCAAGCAAAACCCAGGTTTTTAGACAGATAAGAGATTGTTTTTAGATTAAAATTCAAACAGTTCTATACTTTTCAGGCTTAAGGTCTAAAATTTACCACTGACAGGAAAAATCACAAGCTTGCGTCAAAATTAAACAACAGCGAAAGAAAAAAAAAAAAACACATCCAGGAACAAAATCACTCACCACATTGGCCTTGATCCTTGACAGGAGCGACAGCACCTTTCCCTCTCCAATCCATTGACTCCGGCAACTCATCTTCTACCTTATGCAAGTACCTATCACTCTTCGCCTTCCTCTCAACCCTAAGGTCTTTCTTGGCACCCAAATACATCGCCTTAAATTCTTCATTACTCAAATCTGCAAACTTATTCAACCCCACTTTGTACGTCTTCTCAACCGCGTTATGTTCATCAACAAACCTTAAATTATCCTTAAAGATCTCGAAACGCCTGTCCTTCTCACCCAACGCATTGTAGCTCTTCCCATGTTTTATCATCCACCTATCATATATCATCCTTATCTCGACTTCCGACCTGTTGACTGGCTGGCCATGCGTGCGATCGTAGTCAATGATGGACATGTCCATGGCCAGAGCCAGCGTAAACACCATGCTCAAAAGAGCGAAAACCAGAACTCTTTTGGAGCAAGCCATTGAGACACCAAGAGTTGAACGAGACATAAAAGAGAGTTTGTGTTTTTGTCGTGACTGAGGGTGTTTATATATAATGGAGAAGTTGAAGAGATGGAGAATCGTGAATGGTTAACGAGTGTGAAACTGCGTTGAAGTAGGAGAATGTTGCCCGTCACATTAGGTTATTGAAGGCGTTGAGAGATTGGTAAATTTAGAAAAGCGTGCATGTGATGTGACTAAAGTTAGAAGGTTTTGATAGTATGTGGACAAGGAGTTGGTATTTGACTCTCTATCTATTATTATTATTATTTTTTTAATGATCGGGTGTTCAGGTCAATTTAAGTATACTTTAACTAATCTCTTAAGACTTTAAAATTATTGATGGGATAAAAGCAACAAAAATACCTTTAAAAGTTCTATAAATCCCTATAAGTTTGAAATCTTACAAAAATATCCTCAAACACCACCATTAGTGTCGACAAATAGAGCCTATTTCCGACGACGCCAACACTCTCTATCACCACGAAAACACTCCCCTTGACCTCTTGACCAAAACTCATCTCACACCTCCCCCATTTGCCTCCCCAATCGTCGGCAACGACGGGCTTTTTCTGACGACATAGTTTTATGATTTTAGATCGATTCACTCACCGGAAATCACCGTTGTCGCCACCATTGCACTCACCAACCATTTCCTTCAAAAGTTCTAACATTTCAATCTTCTATTGTTCACATACCAGTGTCCTAATTTTTAGGGTTTTCAATGAATAGGAAAATATATAACCTGACCAAGTGAAGGCCCCAGGTCCCGGTTGAATCGGTCGGGATGGGTCAGGTTTTAAAATACTACTAAACATAATTGAAGATTAGATATTAATCATGAGAAAATAATTTTACAATTTTCTTCTAGGTCGATCAATTTAACCTAATTTAAGCACAATAAAAGTTCTTTGAAACCGAGTTGTGGATAAGAATTGAATATATATATTTTTTAAAGATAATAATAACGATTTTTTGTTTCACAATCTCCCCTCCAAGATGTAATATTAAAGTAGACATATGATAGAAGATTATTCAAATTCCAATACACCTCAAATCAAGAAAAGATTTTTATATCTCAATTAAAGTTTCTTGTTCATATTATATTTATATTTATATTCATGTTTAATATTATTATCATAAAATTTAATTAGCCTGGCATAGATAAGTAAAGTTTACTTTTTAATAATTTTTCCCATGCTTCATGGCCAAGAATGCATGTGACCAATTTGCCTTACATTAAGTCAATCAAAGATTTTCTGGGATTTTGATAGATATATTAACTTTTAAGTTAATCCAATCCTGCATGTGACTTATAATTGTATGATAGTTATCTTTTTGTTATAAAAAACTAGGAACCTGGGAGATACAAATAGGATATTTTTATGAAGAGTAATGCTACAGTCATCGACGGTAGTATACCAAATTTGTACACCGAATGACATGACAAAATTCTGACCGTTGATTAATTTTAACTTAAAATTAATCAACGGTCAAGATTTTGTCACGTTATTCGGTGCATAAATTTGGTGTACTACCGTCGTGGCTATATTATTTTCCTTTTATGAAAGTAATTCGTTTTTTCACTGTCTCTGTTTGTATAAGTTTTTAGAATAGTATTATATTCTGAATATGATTTAATCAAATAGGATAAGATTTTAAGAATGTATCTGAAAATTATTTTTTAAAAATATTCAGATTAGTTTTTAACCTTCTATATTTGTTAATTTAATTAAACACTTTTACAATAAAAGTTTATAAATTAACAAAAACACCCCACCCACTCAACTATTGTCGAAGCCAGTCACTGCCGTCAAACGGTGGTCAGAATGGCACACGAATGGTCAGATCGATGCACTACCGGTCAAATCCAATCGGTCGTGTGTCATTCTGGCGACAGTCGGATGGTGGTCGACTGCCGACAATAGTTGGGTGGGTGGGGGTGTTTTTGTTAATTGACAAACTTTTACTGATAAAAGGTAAATATTAAATGTTTTGAGTTGAATAGAATTAGGATTGAATTTTGAATTGTATAGTCAATATTTAAACAAATATCTATTTCATTGGATTTGATAGGATGGTAGGATAAGACCTAGTTTGAAAAGTTAAACAAAGGGGAGCTAATTTTCAATACATAACATACTTAAGCATAATAAATGTTTAGATAGTGATAGTATTGGATAACCACTACTGGGTGGTTTGATGGTAAAGAGCAAAAAGAGAGGTACTATGAGTTCCTGAATTCGAGTTCCAGGAACCCGAGAGATTAATTGAAGTGCACACAAACTCGCTGAGACACCCCTCATGATAAAAAAAAAAAAAAAAAAATTAGTTAAAGTGCATGCAAACTAGCTGTGATAAAAACCCCTATAATGTATGAAATACATTATATGGGACCGGTCCTAAGCTTGGGCCAGGTTAATTTCAAAAACCCCTTAACCCAACTACCAAAACCCCTTAAATGTATAAATCCATAATAAATTTAGGGGTTAAAAATGATTCTACAATTAGAGGACTAAATTAAAATTTTTCAAACCCATAGGATCGGTCCTAAACAAGGCCAAGCTTGGACTTGGGACCGGTTTGAGCCCTCACAAAAGTGATGGGCCCAAATTAGAACTGGTCCTAGTTAGCCCAGGCCTAGGACTGCCGGACCCAACTTTTGCCCACCTCTACTCAGAAATTAGACTCAGAGATTTAAACAAGCGATATTGTAAGTCCAAACGTTATAATATTATGACATTTTCATTCAAAAGATGATTGTCGTTAGTCTAATCTGTAAGATTAAGGGTAAAATTGAAAATATAATGAAAATTAATCAAATATACATAAATAAATGATGGTACAGTTGATAACGGGTAACAAAGCACAAAGTAAACAAATAATTTATTTAATAAAGTACACACATCTATTTTGTTTAACATCTTTTATTTTATTTTCTTAATTTTATAATTTACATATTTTATATTATTGTTTATTTTATTTATAATCAGATAAGACAAAAGGGTTTTTGTGTCTCTTTGTCATATTTTGTGTGTTAAATAACATATTAGGCTAATGGGGTTTATCTTTTAAATGAAAATGTTACCATATTGTAATATTTGGTCCCTAATGTCACTTGTTTAAACCTCTGGATCTAACTGGTACTTACACCAAGCCTGAAGGGTGTTTATGTTTTAAAAAGAGAGAGAAAGAACAAAGAGATTAAATAAAGATTAATTTGAGTCCAAAATTGAAATAACATAGACTCCATTTGGTTCATTATTCTGATAGTTTTTAGAATAATCTTTTGAAAAAAGTTCAATTGAGCGGGTATTACGATGTAGGATTTGAAAATTAACAAAAATATCCCCTATGTTTGTTTATTTACTAAACACCCCTATAATAAAATATTTAAAGTTAATAAAAACACCCCCAACCCACCCATTAAATACGGACAGCCGGCCACCACCGTCGGAGGGTGGCCGGAGTATTTTTGCAATTTCTAAAAAAAAATATTTCAGGGTGTTTAGTTAAATTAACAAATTTAGGAGGTTTAAAAGAAATTGAAAAATATAGAATAATATTTTGGGAATAATGACATTTTATTGTTTAACTTTTTTGGGAATACTAATAATAGTATTCCCAAGAGTGAACCAAACGAAGCCATACTTCTTCATCTTCATGATACTGTGAAGATATTCACTTTTAGCTGAAAACTCCGAACCTTTAAACAAATAAAATATCTCAAGACATTATTTAGTTGGAAAACTGAGTGACATAAAACATACAAATCCTTCTTATAAACCATTATACAAGAAGATATCATAATCTTATAAGAGCTTTCTGTAAGGAAACGATCAAACTTAAAGCAGCAGAAACAAAAAATTTAAAGCACATAGATCGAATCCATTTAAGCCAAGATTAGGGCACAAATTATATAGTTTATATGTTAAATCAAAAATTGCAGTAATATGAACAATCAGGGTAGAGTTTAGAGTTCATACGCATGTTTGGAGGCTCTCTCAAACTTGTCTCTAACTGGGTTCACCACCGATCCAAGAGTAGGATCGAACCAGCGGTAATCCATATGAAGATAACCTGAAGAGCTAAAGAGGGATTTGCTAGATCCTCTTTAGCTTTAAGAACCAAATTCAAGAATCAAGAAATTTTGATTCAATGAAAACAAGGCTGGCGTGAGATGGAGAGATTGGGCTGTGTGTTTTCTTTTTCCTTTCAATCAATAATATTGAATGAATGAATCTCTCATTTTAATTCACAAAACCTTGCACTTATATAGTGCTCACAAAACCCCATTTTATCAAGGAATAGGCTTGGACTTCAACTCAAACAGCCTTTATATCCAAACATTCCTAATCATGATATTTTAATTAAAATTATTATTATTTTCAATTAAACTCAATTAATGTATTTATAGAAATACATTAACATTTAATTAATAATAATAATCTATTTAAATATATGTGTACATATATTTAAATATAATCTTACTTATTTAATTTAATAAAAAATTAAATATAGGCAACAACCTCAGCAAATTTAATTGCATTGTGAGATTACCAAAATATACTTTCACCCCAAAAGACGAAAACACCCCTTGCACAAACTGAATCTTAAATTATCTTCTATGTGTGTGACCCGTAGGTCCTCATCATACTGTTAGAGTCATGAAAGTGACTATTTTGGTGATAAAAATACCCCATGTGTGATTAAATTGAAGTATATTGAGACAATTAAAGAATTTATGAATTTATTCACGAAAATCTCTTTTTAATATTTTTCTTATGAATTTAACGTGTTTGGAATGATTTTGAAAAGTATATGAGTTGATATTAGGTTGTGGTTTATGGATTAAGGGTGATTTTGTCTCATTTATGCTGTTTAGGGGGTAAAATGTCATGTCTTAAGGGGCTAATTTTGTCACTTTTCAATTATATAGGGACCAAACTGATATTTAGCAATTTGTTCTATAAAAGAGAAGAGATTTCGCGTGAACCGGGGGCGCTGTTCATCATCTTTTCCGGTGACCCTTCGTCTTCCATTTTCGACGACCTCCGGCGACTCTTCGTCTTTCTCGTGCAGAGAGCTTCAACA